TGGTACATATCTATAATCCCAGCACTTTGCAGGCCGAGGCAGGACAATTGCAAGGAGTTAGAGGCCACCCTGAAACTACGTAATGAGTCCTTGATTTAAAAAACGAAACCAGACCCTCCCCTCCCACACCCCCAACAACTTGTAAGGCCTGGAGATATATGTCAGTGGTATAATAATTACCATGCAAGATACCCTGTGTACAATTCCAGCATTGCAAACAACACAAGTTTTGGAAGTAAGAATTTTCCTGTGTAGATACAGATATGTTTCAAAACACTGTCATTTTTAGATGATTCGATCAGTAATCTGAGGTCATGTATCATGTTAAGTTTTCTGGCTAAAGAGGAAAATAATAGTATACTTTATTTAATTTTATGATGATACAGTTTACTCCCATACTCCCTTTTATAGTGTTTCATTGTATAAAACTATGTAAACTTGTAGAGAAATTTCATAGTTACAAAATGTGTATTTGCAAAAAAAAAAGTGCATTTGCTTGACCAGAACAGAACTATTTTGTCTTTTTTTTTTTTTTTTTTTTTTTTTTTTTTTTTTTTTTGTAGAACCAGGGATTGAACTCAGGCCCTTGCACTTGCCAGGCAAGCGCTTATTCTACTGAGCCATCTCCCCGGCCCCTATCCAGTTTACTCCCATACTCCCTTTTATAGTGTTTCATTGTATAAAACTATGTAAACTTGTAGAGAAATTTCATAGTTACAAAATGTGTATTTGCAAAAAAAAAAAGTGCATTTGCTTGACCAGAACAGAACTATTTTGTCTTTTTTTTTTTTTTTTTTTTTTTTTTTGTAGAACCAGGGATTGAACTCAGGCTCTTGCACTTGCCAGGCAAGCGCTTATTCTACTGAGCCATCTCCCCGGCCCCTTTCTTTATACTTTGACCCGCATATTACATGATTATGAAGTATAAAAGAAAATTTATATAAATTCATTTTCAGGCCACAATTGGGTTTGCTCTGAAAATGGGAATACCTTTTTTTTTGTTGTAAACTTTATTTCTGAAACATTTTACTTGTTTCCTCCTTTAGCATTTTAAAATTTTTAAATTTTTAAAAATTATTTAGTGCAGGGCCTATAGGGGCTCACTACATAGATTGGACTCATAGTGACCTCCTGTTTTTCAGCCTCCCAGTTGCTGGAGTTACAGGCATGTGCCATCTTTATTCCTTTATTATTCTGCCTTTTAAATTGTTTTATTCTGTCTTTACAAGTTATAACTCTGTAGTTTAATTAATGTATATATGTGTGTACATATATATAATATATATTTATATTTATATTTATTTGTTTTTTGGTACCAGGAATTGAACTCATGACCTTGTACTTGCCAGGCAGGCACTGTGCTGCTAAGCTAAATCCCTAGCCCCATGTCTGTAGT